TTTAAAAAGATAGACCGTACATCTCACTGCGCCAATCGGCCTCCCTCTAGTTTCCCTCGCTGTTTCGAGAGATACTTTAATTTTTAAACAGACGACAAACTTTAATACTCCCTGGGAGAAGCTTCCTCCTGGTTGCCCGTCCTGGCTGCAAATTTCTTCCACGGAATTATTCCACGCGACCAGAGTGCCACTTGGCGAACGAGCGTAACGCGTGCACACCCGTTACTCTTCTCCGTCCTCTTCCCCCTATCTGCCCGATTTCGACGATCGTTATCGTTCATTGAAAAATGTAATCCATGGGTCACGCTTTGATCATGCCACGGAATTGATGGGCGTTGAATGCCAAGCGAGTCGTATCAACGAACCACCGCGTAGCCGCTTTAATCATTTAAAGGAACGACTCGCTATTTCCGCTAATTCGCGAACTCGCGCGGACACCGGCTGCTCGCTTCCCGTTACCGACCAATCGATACCGTTTCAATCTGCGATTGAACGCGGCGCGAATCTGAGAAGTTGCTGATTCGCTATTTAATCATCCGGTTGAACGTCGCGATACCGTAATTGCAAAATTCGTGCGGAATGAATGGCGAGTTCGCGCCGCTTATGCCATTTCCCCGACAAAATATCCGACGATATCACACGGCGCCGGCGGGGGACGGGGTTATTAAAAGCTGCACGGCGGCGGAGCGCAATTTCAATAATACCGCTTTAAGCTCGTCGCGAACATGCCTGGAAGAAGCGCGTCGCTTCTGGCACAGAACGCTCGCGGGCCAATTTATTATTCCGGAGGTACACAACGCACGCCCAACGGGCCAGATGTGGCCCATCGACGCAAATTACGCGAGCCGCGACGATATTTCTCCAAAAATTGCAACGGCCATCCCTCCGCCCTTTCCACCCTTCCTCCAACCATCGTCCACCCTGCTACCTGCTACGCCAGCCCCGGACCGCCGCGATATCGCGCGTTTTATTAGACATTACGATAACGTATATGCGCGAAACGGCGCGTTATAATTCCAGTAAGACGCATTCCCGCAAAAATTGCGCGCAATCTTGGAACCCTGCGATAGCGTGCGACGCCTCGAACCACACGCGCGACGGGGTAATTTTTATTAAAAACCAGGGCGACACGGCGGATGTATAGGATCAACGCGACACAGCTTTATTATCGCGGCTTTTAATATCTCTCGAGGACGCGGCGCGTTTAATCCGCCTTCGTTTCCTTCGTTTAACTTCGTCAGACGCCGAGGGTGAGATCCACGGGATTCATCCAAGCATCCTCCTTTCGATGGTCAGCTCGCGTCTGGATCTCGCTTGGAAACTCGCAACGGGAAGATCAAAGCCGTGCCTATCTCGTCGGCAGACGCACCGCGTAACGAACTTCAATCGCCTCGAATCTACCTGCCGATGAGAGTAAAGAAATTGAAATTGAAACGCCAAGCAGAGGAGGCATCTCGATGACAGCCGGCAGACGGAATCCGTTCCCGTTCAATTATTTTAACGTGTACGAACGACGAAGAAGCGAGGCCAGCTTCTTTTCCCCGGTAGCCTGAGTCGTTTGATCTTTGCCGGTAAACGTTCGGCGAGACGCAGCAGGCGACAGGGGAAGGAAAGAGAAGCGAGAGGTGAGATGGTCGCGAGCAAGGGAAGAATGCAAAAGGAGGAAGCGGAAATAGTCGCGAAGATCGCGAGCAGAGCGGTGTAGAGGGGACTAGAGACACAGGGCAAATAGAGAGGGTTGCCGAGAGGTCGGAGAGACGTATGACTCCCAGGGGAAATTTAGGTGCGACCTCCATGTATCACGGAAGCTACCGTAAGTAGCTACGTAACCGACGTACGTACACCGCATACTCGCGCGATCCTACATGCATCCGCTTGTACACGCGCGAACAACGACCACATTGTACGCGCGACCACCCCTAAATATGTTCGCAACGATTTGCCAATCGGGCAATCGCCGTGTAAACGACGCACAAAACGCTCCAGCCGGCAAATTGCGCGGCCCAAAAGCGAGATTTACAGAAACCGCGAACCTACGGGTGACGCGGAGATATCACTGCGCCAGAAATGGCTTCCCTCGTGGATCGTCCGACATCCTCGTATCCGCGTGTTTGCCGAAGATGGAGATTGCCATGGCGGTGTCCGCTGATGTTACGATTTAACGTGGTACTACACGGCATCATCGAATTCTTAACGTCTGAAAGGAGAATTGTTAAATGAGTAAATAAGCTAACGGCGGTTACCGCGTAGAGAGAAAGAGGGGCGGAAATGGAACTGGGCGATTACGTTGGAAAAACGATGACTCGGCTGAAAATGCATTTCTCGAAAAATTTCCACCGGTACTCTGGCATAAAAGAATAGATCACGCGCCGCTGGAAAGCTCTCCTCGCGCGCTATAAAAATCCGCTATCAGATCACTTTCCACTCGAGGGGCGTGAAGCATGTATAATGGCGGGTAGCCGCGTTTTCCACGGATGCAAACCGGCGAACGATCTACAACACCACGCGCAAGCAGGTGTAAAACCGAGCACTGCCTACACCTACGCTGTTACGAAATTCTTCTCGCCGCCTCTCTCCCTTTTCGTAACTGCCATGAAGCTCGTATACCTGCAGCGATTTCGATAATCTCAAACGCGCAAACGGATTTTCGTTATCCCACTCGATTCTAGGCAAATTGATCAAAATGTCGGATTTGAACCTCTTCTGCTTTTGACCATAATTAATTCGTTAATTGCACTTTAATTCGACACTCGCTCGAACAGTCAAGATGATCGAAATGAAAAAGAAAGAAAAAAAAAAGCGATATAAAATGCTCTGCGCAGTTTACAACCGGACATTTTGTGACAATGAAAAATACTCGACCTCGAACGTCGATAATCGATTTTCATCGAATGCAAGAAGGTTAGATGAAACACCGGACGGAAAGTGAACGCAAAGTGAACAGCAGCGCTCGTAGTGGCTCTCCTCTTTCTTCGTCGCATGCCGAACACGAAGATCCTATGGATGCAAGAGAAGAGGAGAAATGGTAATAAAATCGATGCCCTGGATCTGCCGTCGGTTTGTAATTGAATCAAATTAATCACCCTCGTCGACCTCGAGTCCGCACTCTCCTCGCCGCTGTAGCAGCGCGCCGCTTACCATCTCCAATTAATAGCAGAAAGCTGCACGTTTCGTTGGAACTTTATAAAACGAATCCAATTACGGGCGACCGTTTGTCAAAGGCTCAAAGCCACGGAAAGTTTCACCTCGGTTCGGAAATGACGTCGCCCGCCTGTTTTCCTTCCCCTCCTCCACGTCTCTGTCAATAGGAATAAACGAGAGGCCGACGGACGCCCGACCGTCCTGCCATTAGCGTTAAAAGACACCAAGAAAATCGTATAATCGAGTCTGCTTACCGTGTCTGGCTGTTACAATCGACCATGTAGAATAATCGACTCGTATGCGCGAAAATTTCAAGTATATTCGTGAAGTTTTGCGATAATCGAAGTTATGTTTAATCGAGGAAGTAAATAAACATCCTTGTTATCAAAGATCGACCTACACTTCGACACGGGTGAATTTCAGGCTTCTCGCCCATTCCCTAAACTAACACGTGTCACGAATCTAACCACGAACAATAGAGCAATTCTCCCTGTTTAGGTAAACATCTCGACTGCTAAATTAATTATGCTTCCTGAAAGTACATATTATCCTACATATCGTGGGTTTATATAGACGAAGAAGTATAAGACAGTCGATTGTACTTGATTTTCCTTTAAAAAATTTCTCGCTTTTAAAATGTATACTTAGGAGCCTGTAAGTAAAAGAAGGACCATCTATAGAATATGACAGTGGCATTTTTATAAAATGCAGTTTATCTTTACAACCATTAACTTTCAAAATTAACAACTTTTTTTATAATAAATAAGCGTCAAAATTTGGCAAGATCTCATAATATTACAAATGTAATAAAGATAAAAAGAAAGAAATATCGACGTAAGAAACAAATAGATTGAACACCGCATCTTTACCTTAATATTAGTAACAATTTTTAACTATAATTGAATTTGTCTAATTGGTATACTAAAGACGATATGGATCCATATTTAATTAATAAATCAATATTCGCGTTACAAAATCATCCGATTCATAAATAAATCACTAATGAAATAAATTAAAATGGAGGTTGATTTAATTTTCCTGACTATAAGGATACGTTAAACGTGTTTGCAAGAGAACAAAATTTTATTAACGCAAACCCGTTCCAAGATATCAATTGAATAGGTATCTGAGTATGAAAGTTACTTCTTAAATATTAAAAAATATTTCTTTACCAGAATGTCCCCCAATCTTTTGTTACAATTATTAGTCTAACTACATGGAATTGTAACTGGTGATTATTACAGACTTATGATACATTACAACTTTATAAACATTACATACTTTGGTTCGATATTATACGCCTACAAAAACGTCGGAATACATAACACTTTGCATGTCTTAGAATGCAATCCGCTTTTTGACTAGGTCTTCTAGTACTTACAAATTACAAACAATCGTCAAGATTGTATATTCCTTAAAACCTGTTTTCTTTTCTTATTGATAGAAATCAATATTAATTTATTATTAATTTCGATCAATTTTGTTTACATTGCAAATAGATATAACATACCGCCTGACACCTGCAAGATTTTAAAATAAACGACCAAACGGTGAGTAACTGCAGGCAATCTATGGACGGTAAATATCAACGCTATATGCGAACTGATTTTATATACGAGCAAATGTTGCTCAAAATTGGAATCTTTTTACAATACTTTACAAGATTTTTTAAAACGTGTCAAGTTATAGTAACTGAAGAAAATACAAGTAGGATTCCTCATAAGCTACACCTTATCCTATTTAAAAAATGCCGTAGTACTAACAATATCGTGATTTAAAAAGAATTAACTACATTATCCATCTATATACATTGATAAGAACACATCTGTCCAATTTTACGACACTTACCCCACCTATAAAATGTTAAACAAAAATTTCCAAAACTGGAAAATGCAGTAATACACGTACGAAAAATATTAAATTGCCTTGTGATTTTCTTAAACCTATACGAGGATGCGATTAAAAATTTAAATGTGAAAAATAATAAGGAATTTTTAAAACTTTGCAATTTAAAAATATTATACGATATGTGCTACCTACACCTAAAAACTTTTTTAAAGCAATTTAGGTTTATCCACGTATTGCTTGCCGTGATGTATAATAGTTGCAAATGTACCGGCTACCATAGCACCCCAAAATAGCATATACAACAAAATTTCAGTAGTGTATCTCGAAGGCAAGATTATATGAGCAACCAGCATGGATGATGCAACGAGAAGTACCACAGGGAATGTAGCATAACACCAATTTTTTTCCGAGTCCAGAGGACATTGGATTAACGTACATTCACCATCTTGTACGATATAACGGCCCAAAAACAAGTCCAATGAATCCTGTTATACATGAATATAATATAACTTCTTATATGTAATGAGGTATACCAGTAAGAGATTGCAAATAAAGCTTATAGGTAAAAGATGCATACCTGTCTATAACCATCGGTAAAATTATTTTTATAATATCTCGTTATTGAATTCCAGCCATCTCTCATTGCGCCTAACTTAGTGCGTTTTCCAGTTCGAGTAAAATCTGTTTTCAGTGCACCAGTACCTGAGTATTCGATACTTATTATATCTGCATTATCAGCCCAAATCTAGAACCAATACATTAAAAATAATATACACAAATTTCAAATAAAAAAGAAAGCATAACTAAAATAATACATTTACCCGTTTGAAATGTTCTTCGACACTAGGATGATCTTCGATTCTCCTAAGAATTTGCAAGTTTGATAACACATCGTTAAGCACTCTCTTTGCAATCATACTTTGAACAACATTCGTCCTATCAAGACAGTCGATACAATTGGTACGAAAAATACCATCTTGAGCTGACAGCAGTGTTCCATCTTCTAACAATAAAAAGTAACCCATTTGTTCTAATTCGTGACTTAATCGATCGAGTAAGACATTTAGACGGTCCCATCTTAATCTTCTACATTCAGCATGAAAATCAAAACTTTCGTACCGAACGTTTTGATTATTAATTCGTTGTACTACATTGCGGTATGCCTTTTCAAGTACAGCTTCTGGACCACGCTGATCGATCTGTATAACAATTAAAATATCAGAATTAGATTAACAATGGTACAAATTTAATTTTCTACAATTGCTTTTATCGACTTACCAAATTAATCAAAATTTGCTTTCCATAATGAAATATTTGAGTTTCAAAATGTCGTGCACATGCAGTTTGATGATCTTCACGAATATTCAATTGTGGTTTAGGTTTATATTTTAGATTTGGTGCCTGGTTCCAAAATAATGGAATAGAACCCCGCGTTTGTACAAAAGACATACGATGACCATTGAATTCGACTAATTGTTCTGTTTCTACATAATTAGAAACATTACCAATGGAATCTATACCACGCGAAAACAATCTTGTCCCTGCACGGTGCACGCTACGTCTAGATACTATACCAAAATTAAACGATGTACTACCAGTTACAGTAATAGTATTTAATGACACAACTAAAGGAACAGTTAAGGAAAATATATATATCCTAAAACTGTAAGAGAAATATATTTTACTTCTCTTTCTTTTTTTATTGTGCAAGGATACATCCATGAATGATAGGTAGACAGAATTTATAATGCTCAGGTCTTGATGTTAGATCTTGTAGAAGGTAAGCATTCCATATAAATCTGGGATCTGCCCTATCATGAAGTGGCATCTATATAATAGAAAAAATATGTTGAAATAATCAAACACAAATAATTATATAGAAATAATAACAAGTAATAATAACAAACAATAATAATAATTAATAATAACCTGTAAAAATTCAGGTGGAGTATTATGAAGCCTTTGCATTGTGTGACTAAGATCATATGTGTAACTAAAATAAAAATAAGGTGTACTTAATACAGATTTGATCATCTCTATATATGTTGTATTATTTTGCACTTGTTTTTCGCTGAGATGTAGCAAAGACTTGGAATATGGTATAATTTCTGTTAAAACTAGTTTAAAAATTTGATGACCAGCTATAGTTCCAACTTCTGTTGCATCTGTTATCACTATAAGATATCGGCATGCTAATAGCCGTATAGTTCCTATTATACCCCATATTTTCCTGCGGCTTGCACTTGATGGAATTTGACCAGCTGTACCAACTAATTGATGTATAAAGTGTTTAAAAAATCTATCACGCAATTATATCAACTGTAAGTTATAATTTTAATTACCTTGTGTATAAATTTGCTGACTCACTCTATCTACTACAAGTAACACTCTAGTTCCAATAGTTTCTACATAGAACTTTTCAGGTGTTATGTATCTGAAAAAGTAATTAATTATCAATCTAATAAAAATGTCAACACATGGCTTTTCAAGTAGTAATTATAATTATATAAAAAGTACTCACAAATATAATTTGTCATATACATCTGTATGTAGCTTCATACTGCTACAAAATAACTTCTGCAATGCGTATTACGAAGATACAAATTAACAAAAAATGAAATACAACAACACAAGGAAAATAAACTACAATGCTAATAAATATTGCCGTCTGTACATATATGTGAAGTAGGTTATCATGTAAACTTAGCTACAGACAAATTGTCAAACTGTTGTCAACTTAATATTTGAATTAACATGTTCAAAATGTGTCAAAATCGGAGTAACCTCCGCACTTATCTAGTCCCTTCTATCCCTCGCGGCACGATCCACTATACAGTGCTGATACTGCATGACCGCAGCAGATGTTGAAATTTTAGGTCGTCATAGTAGCCAACATTTTCCTATTCGTGTTATAGATAACACCACACCAATGAATAAATATTCAAAATTCTGATTTGGTATAATATCCTGACCAAATGTAATAATAACTCTTAAAATACAGATTATAATTAATCAACTACTTTCAAATAAAAAATAGAAGAATTCATATAAAAATTTGATATGTTCAAATTATATATCACAGTATCATTAGATTTTAGATCGCCAATCATTCTTTTAAAATTTAAACGTACATTATTGACTTTGTAACATTGCTAAATAGATGGCAGTAAAGTAGATTGAGTTTCGATTGGATACTTTACTCAACTAAATTTTTGAATTTCCACACGATACCTGTAAATATTATGCAACAAAATTTTATCTATAAAGTATGTATTTGACATTAGTATAAGACGGAAATATATATTTAAATTATTCTAAGCTTCTTGTTTAAGTTATTATTGTTAATTGCAAACGAGTTTGTACGTATACATGAGAAGAAACAACGAAATTTAGTTTGCACATATATTTTTTTATAAAAATTAACATTTTTGTATAATAATTCCAACTTAACTGTATAACAAGAAAATTATATTCTTTATGTACATGTAATGCAACTTATAAATTAAATAATACGACATTTTTATCAATTAAAGCTGATTTTTATTAAAACACGATCTCCAGAACTATCATTCGAATTCAAATCTATCCTCCAGTCCAGTCGCTGTTATTACACCAATCATTCTAAGTGACCTTAGTATTGCTGGAGAGTTCGACAGTTATTGTCTGGCCTATTATTTAAAAAGCTTATCATTCAAAAAAATTAGCGCTGGAAAAATGGTAAGTTTGAAAAAATATATTAATCGTTTTACATTACAAAAGTAATGCAAAATATTTTTAATTTTTATATTCTGAGTAATAATTGTTTAACCTACATTTGACCTTCAACAATTTTATAAAGTATTAACACTTTTTAATTTATTATTAATTTGTTATTCTAATGTAGTCTACAGTATTTAACCACCTGTATTAATGGAATCATTATTTAATGAAATATAAAAGCACAAAATGAAATAACCTCTAGAAATTTATTATTACATTTATAATTGGCAATACTTATAGTTCAATTTTGAATACTCAGTGTTTGTAAAATAGAATTCATGTTTTTTTAAATGTTTTAGAGTGAACCAATAACGGTGGTGGTTACGGGAGCAGCAGGACAAATTGCTTATTCTTTATTGTACCAGCTTGCTGCTGGTATGGTTTTTGGACCAAATCAACCAATTAATCTTCATTTACTAGATATTCCAGTTATGATGAAAGTATTAGATGGAGTAGTTATGGAATTAGAAGATTTAGCTCTCCCACTCTTAAAGGGTAAAAATAAAAATTTATAGTTAAAAGACTATTAACGATATAACAAAATATACCAGCATTCTGAAATTAAATATTGTAATAAAAATATTGTACATTAGATAAAATTCATTAGATCATATAATAATATTATTTTTTCTACATCATTCTTTTACTTTAATAAAAAATATGTACATATTTTTTTACATTTTGTTTATTGTATGAACTTTTTACTTGCAGCAATTGTTCCTACAGCTGACCCAGCTGTAGCTTTCAAAGATGTAGCTGCAGCTTTCCTTGTTGGATCAATGCCCCGAAGAGAAGGAATGGAAAGAAAAGATCTTTTAGCAGCTAATGTAGAAATTTTTAAAGTTCAAGGGGAAGCTCTAAACAAATATGCTCGAAAAGATGTTAAGGTTCTAGTTGTTGGCAATCCTGCTAATACAAATGCTTTGATTTGCTCTCATTACGCACCATCTATTCCAAAACAAAATTTTACTGCTATGACTAGATTAGATCAGAATCGTGCTCAAGCAGCTGTGGCATCACGATTGAATGTACAGGTAATTAATTTTAAACTTATATTAAACATACATGCTCATATACTTTTCAAAATTGAATAAATAACACATTTGTAAATAGGTTGATAAAGTAAAAAATGTTATTATCTGGGGTAATCATAGTTCAACCCAATATCCTGATACTGCTCATGCTACTGTGACTCTTGAAGGTTCCACTAAATCAGTGCCTACAGAGATAAACAATGAAGACTGGTTGAATAATATCTTTGTGGAGATAATTCAAAAGCGTGGTGCAGCTGTAATAGCTGCTAGAAAAATGTCATCTGCTATGTCAGCAGCTAAAGCAGCTGGAGATCACATGAGAGATTGGTGGGTGGGGACTAAACCAGGTGAATGGATTAGCATGGGTGTGCTATCAGATGGCAGTTATGGAATTCCAAAGGATATTGTGTTCTCTTTCCCAGTTACTGTAGAAAATGGACAGTACAAAATTGTTCAAGTAAATTTTTCTTCCTAATGTCTTATATTCAAATATATTTTGAAAACAAAAAATTAATTTACATTAATTTTTTAGGGACTTTCAATTAGTAACTTTGCTAGGTCAAAGTTAGATATCACAGCCAAGGAATTAGAAGAAGAACGTGCAGAAGCAAATAAAGTGCTACACAAAAATTGACTACGATCAATAAATTCTGGTTCTGGAAGTGACTTACCTGCCCTAGCGAAACTGTAAAAAGTGAAATAAAAATTTTTGGTATTATAAATTGTGATATGTAATATATAGGCTATAATAGCCTTATGAAACTAAAAATGACATTCACATGGTACAATCTATCAGTAATGTATAAGATACAATATATTGGTGGTATGCATTGATGATACATGATGCAAAATCTAATGAGATGTCTATATATCTTTTTTAACTGGTACAGGAATTGTTAAATACATATGATTATATTCGTAAACTGTATAAAACATGTAACAAATTATGTTAAAAAACATGTTATACTTTATAACGTTTTTTTTTTGTTGTTTTATTCTTTCCCCAAGAATCAATAATAATTTATATTACAGTAATAGTAACTATTCCTCATATCGATATCATTATCAATCTTTTCACATTTATATTATTTTCATATCTTCTTCTAAACACTATTATTACAAGTATACTGACTTCCGCCTATAATTATAATTATTGAGTGAGCATTAAGTAGCATATTGTACAAAGATGCAGAGTGCTCAGCTTGCCAAGTCTTCAGAACGTTTCCATCGAAATGCTTTCAAACACTTTATATCTTCTTTCTCGTGACATTATATTCAGACACCCACGCGTCTTTATAAACATGGTGATAAGTTGATATTTAGTTAAAAGAACAAACATTTGAAGCTGTGAAAATTGGTCTAGATGCTAAAAAACATCGTTTTCATTGTGATTGATAAAAACTTAGCACTTTGCACAAGTCAATTTTGATTCACATCTTATGCGTTTTTATAACGCTCTATATATGCGAGAGGCATTTTGATAAAGAAAGTAAAAGCTTTCATCAAAGATGCCTCTTCTTATTTTTACATATGAATCACTTTCCAAGCACGACAATATTTCACAAAGAAGACAATACGAACATTCGTTCTAAAATGAGGAACTGTAAAGTTTTTGTTCCACAAGGACAGCAAATATACTTGAAAACACTCGCATAAATTACATTTGTTGAGAAAATACAATTTCTATTGTATTTGGGCAAAATTCATAATATATGTTATGGCCAATACCTGGAACGGATAATTATTTGCAACACTAAATAAGCATATACTTATTTAATTAAACATTAAGTAAGAGTTTTACATTACATATCACGACATTAATTTAGAGATCAGTTCACTATTAATAAAACTTAAACGCATAATATAAAACAGTAAAGCAATAATTTGTTATTAATTACATTATAGATTTCCATCAAAATGTACAAATTTAAACATATCAACATATAACATTACATGTTTAAATAGTTATGATACATTGTGAATTCTTATCAACTTCATTGAGATAATTTTGCATACTGTAAACATTTCCGTTCCAGGTTATGCACTAAATTGTTTTTGGAAATCTGTACCGATTCTTATTGGACAAGTGTTTTAGCTTTTTGTAAATAACATTAAGACCAAACTCGGCTTTCGTGCATAAATTGCACAATGTAATCCGCAGAGCAAAGTTCAATTCGCACATATTAAGAGCGAATATTTCGGACTACATTATCGTAGCAGTTTCTTGCCTAAGCAGAAACAAGATTAATTTAAGTGAAATCCTCTCTCTCTAGTTGCTGCCAGAAGTCTTTCTTTAAGTATTTCTTCAGTAGGATATTCTGGTAATTTTAAATAATGAACACAGGTGTTAACAGAGGGATAACCACCTGAACCAGCATCTACTTTTCGCACAACAGTCAATCTAGGATGTAAATTACATAATCCTCCAGGAGGTAAAGCTGAACATCCAGTAGCAAATTGTAAGAAAGCCTTCCTCTCCGGACCAGTCAACGAAAGTAGAACATTGACAAATCTTTGGAAGCCAGGACTACAGGAGTACAAAAATTATTATTTTTGGTAAAATAGATTGCACAATACTTAAAACTATCTGTATTTAAAATTTCTTTACCTTTCTCTTGTATAGCCTAGTTTAGGCTCAGTATAATTCAGCAGATCCTCTCTGGTCCACTGTGGATTTTGTTCTCCACAAAGCATAGCCCTTACTTCCTCTGGACTAAAAGCATGAAGTTTTTCGATTGGGAAGACTTTTGAAAAACCAGATTTAAACGATTCTAATTGTCTTGAAATTCCTCGGTCGAGACAATAATTAATTGTCATCTCGGCATATTCTTTTGCATTTTCTATAGTAACTGAAATCTCTGTACCACCTTCTACTAATTCTATTTGATCATACGCGAAAACTTTGGAACTTGGAGAATACGTCATCATTAAGGTCAAGTCTTCAATAGGCACTGACATTCCTGATGGATGAGTAATATTTAACGACGAATCATCGTCGGCAGAATTGCGGCCATCGGAAAGCGTTCTATTACGTTTGGCAATTGCTGTCTGTATCTCTTTTAAAAATTCACCTCTTACTGGATCAACAAGTACCAAATCCTCAATATCCAATAATCCAGCATACCAAGAGGGTGGTTCTAATGAAGAGTATGCTGTATCTGCTTCACCTTCTTCCGATATAAAACTACTCGACATACTTGAGGACATACTTTCTTGAGTTACACCACTAAGACCAATTTTTTCATTTACATTGTTTGTGATGTCTCCGTGACACATTAATTTTAGGAAAGGACGGGACAATGGTAGATCTACTAATCTATTATCTTGCAAAACTTTTGCCAAGAACACACCCAAAAACCAGAAATATCGAACAGCACGATCACACGTTGCAGAATCTTGTGGTAAAGGAGCCGGGAATAATCCGCACGGTCGTGTTACATAATATCCTGGTGGCCGAACCTGATCTCCGGAAACTCGAGACTGATCCATGTCAGGTGATTCTTCATCATCACAACACAACCACAAACCCAAGTCTTTACGTTGTAATTCAGCAGCAACTAATGCAAAGAACTCTAATGTTGGACCAAGACCAGTTCCCTCTTCGCCCACAAATTCTACTTCTAGTATGCTCTTACGGCTTGCATGTACCTGTAATTGTAATAAAATTATAATTTTTTAACTGTAATATTCTCTTTCAAGTGCAAATAATATTGCAATGTATGCATTCAATTTAATTATCTTCTCACTTTCAGTACTTGTTCTGCCCAGTCTAATAGTTTCTCTCCCCTAGGTACACTAACTCTTTCGTGTTTAAGCCTGCCAACACGGAATTCATGAACATCATCGCGACGTGGACTTAAACCTGGCGCTCTTTGTCTTTCAAGAACAGCATCCCTTTGTGTTTGAAGCCATACGATGGATCGCGAGGCTCCAAAGGCAGTACAACTAAAGTACAGTCGTCTAGTTTCAAAGGGTAATAAAAACGGACAACTTCTTGCTAATTCCTCACACCAATTTGGTAAAGCTCCAGCAGCCAATGCTAAAGGATCTTGAATTTGTTGTACTATTTTGTTTGTAATTTTCTTTGAAGTAAAATCATCTGGATGAACCCAACACGACTCTTCAAACTCTTCATAATCGACGTGTTTACCATCATCGCGAGTAGTACTCAATACATAAACATGCCTCAGTAATTGTAATACATCTTCTACACTACATACTGAAGAATTTTGAGTTGTATTGCGAGAATATAATGTCACAACTGGTGTTGCTCTCCCAGATGATTCTTCATCCTTTGCTTCTTTGTATATTATACTATAAAAGGGTACAACATGTAATTGTAACTATTTGATTTTTAATTATATAAAACCAAGAAAATAAATATGTTACGTGTAAGTTGGTTCCCATATTCTTCTTAGCTTTTCTTGTCGACTACCCAATTCCGTCAACTGTATTAATTCTTGTACTTGCTGAAAAATACTAGCATGTGGTTCTGTAAGTGGTAGTTCAATATCTGGTACTCCAGGAAGTCCTGGTCCCTTTAGTGTTAAAGAAAGCCTAGGTGTTGGCAATGAACCCGAACGTGTATTTGACTGAGTTTCGCTACCAGGTGGTGGGATTTCTAAATCTGTTGTCTATAATACATTTTATAACAATAATAATAATATAGTTACAATCATTTGAGTTATTTAATATTTTTTTTCAATTTACCTGATTGATATTAGTTCGTCCAGGCCGTGGATCAAAGGCAGGAATTAGAGCAGAAAAATGTCGTTTCAAAACGAACTCATCATCCCATGCACGTCTCCTACTATTTTGAGGAGTTTCTTCTTCCACAAATGCTGCCAGAAGATTGCGACTTACCATCACATCTTCATAATCACCATCACAACCATCTCCTTCTTCTTCATTTTCTTCATCATCTCCCTATAAAGGAAAGAGATGAAAAAAATCAATATATATTTTCTTATTGCAAAGTAAAACAATTTTTTCAACATACTTCTTGATCATTTTCATCATTGTCTTCTTCCTCTTCAAGAACGCCATCTTCGTCATCTTCTAATTCGGTTAAAAGAGTTGGTCCACCTGTAGTTCTACCGCCACTAGCACTAGAACTTGCAATACCTCCACAAGATTCCAAAAAGTCTTCAAGACTAACCTGTAGCCATAACTGCTTATTACATTATATAGAATCATATACTTTACTTTAGATTCTATGTTTATAATACATGATAAATATCGTTCGTCAATAAAAATAACATTTTTAAATATTAGATAATATCTTATTGAATGTTCAGTTTTACCTGTTCACTGTCACTACTTGTACTAGTCAATGACATTGTAAATGCTTGTCCTAAGCCAGGTCCAGTTGTTGTTGTAACACCACTACCAGCTACTTGACCACTGCTGGTTAAACTTGGATAACTTTGAGCAGTGCTGAGTAAACCGCCGGGGAAATTAGGACCCAAGGCAAGTCGAACTAAACTCGATACAGAATTAGGTCCTCGTGAATTTGAACCAGTATTAGAATTGGAAGCAATATGTTGCCCACCTGTAGGTCCTATAGAAATTTCTCCTTTTAGTGACTTACATAGGTAATTTATTAACAAAGACATATACAAAAAAATAAATTAATTGAATATAAAAAAATAAGTTATTAATTTATTAAAACTAAGTTATTAAAATGTAAGTACTGTTAAGCAAAAATACATTAGCACTAACCCAATGTTCGTCTTCGCGCCATTGCAGTAAAGGTTTCCAATAAACCAGTTGCAGTTGTTGGTTCCAAAGTATTGTTAGCATCAGAACAAGCAAGGTTGGGAACAGATACAGACATAGGATTGGTAACGACAACAGGACATCCACTTGCTGCATTTTGAGTAGATGAGCTAGCTTCTTTGTCCCGACTACATTCTTTGGCAGCTAGTTTAGAGGAACACACTTAATTTTTACATTAAT